ATATCAAAAAAGTACTCCAGAGTGTTGTTCAGCATGGGGGTGAGTAGAAAATGAAGGCTAATCATGTTTTGGGTGTACTATTCCTTTAAACATTTATATTGTTACAGATACGCTGGAATCCAGGATGCTTTTGTTTTCTTTATTAGCACCAGAAATAGTTATGACAGCGCAGCAAGGATGATTGTAGCAAACAAAGTTAGATCCGTTAATTAATATAGGAAACAAATTAATACTAAAACAAAATAAGATGAAGCCTAGTGAAATGAAGCGCTCAAACAAAATTACGGCAGACCCACCCTTACTCTTCTCATCAGTGAGACAGGTGAGTACGCACCTATACACACATACTTCCTTGGTGCACACCCACCTCCCTTTGAGTCTCCACCTCCAAGACACACCACATAACCATTTATGTCTCCTACAGCCGGCTTTCAGTGAAATTCCATGCTCACGCATAAAAAAAGTCTGGTTTTTATTTACTGACTGTAAAAAAAACAGCTGGATGTCCTTAAATGTTCTGTGTTTCTTTACTAATGATTGTTAGACACCATTCTGGTTCAAACATTCTGGGGTTTTTCTTTTCTATTTCATCATTATCCTCCTCTTACTCTTTGCAACCAGAGCAGAGTTCCTGATGCAAATGTTCGCTTGGCCTGCTTCCAATTGACATATAACTCATTGTGACAATCAGTTATATGTCAACCATGCAGCCATGGAAAGTGATTCTACTCACATAAAACCAATATTTTGTACTATATAAAAAATAAAAAATAAAAACTTTGTAAAATTACCCAAAAATGGCAAAATGGAGGCCAGGCGGTGTTAAAACATATCACCCAACTTTTTTTTTACACTAAGGTTAAACAAACAGCACTTTGCCATATTTTTATTTTAGAATTTATTACCAGATTGACACATTTCATCAAAGTGTAGTTTCCACAAAAAAGATCAATTCAGTCCGTTCATCTTTATAAAACAAAAGGCGAGTTATGTAACATTTGTTTCATACAACGGCTTTTGTTTTTGTTCTCATTTGAAAAAAAACAAGAATAAAAGAAGGCAAAGCATTAATTAATGCATTAATGTATTAAAGTTTTTATACTCTTGGGGAAGCTGAGCTATCAATCATGTAGAAAAGCGGGTCCAGTGTAGCTCACCTCGCAAATGAAAACACATCGCCAACACAAAGGACAGCAGGCATCTGTTGGATTGATGAGGGAAAAGAGACCAACCCATAAGCTCACTGATTCCCCGACAAGCTGTGAAAAAATCAGCAAGACCCCCAAGGGACGGCTACGAATACACAATTACGACATTTAGTTTTAGCTGCTGTGGGAGCTAGAACAACACTTACTTTTGAAGGATCTAACGTCCTAAAGGCCAGGACACACCCAATCTGATTCTGCGTGCGATCCGACATCGTGCCGGACGAAGCCGTGGCGTTTAGCACTGGTTGAAGTTCGATGGGGTTGATATCCTGCAGAGGGCAGTGTAACTCCGACTGAGTTAGAGCCCAAGTCTATTTTAGTCAGACTACGCAGCAATTCAGCATCAATTAATGGGTCTGACAGGAAGAGAGATGCAGTTACAAAGTAAAGCTCATCCGCTTTTGGGGAAAATCCAAAATAAAATTCATTAATCGCAGAGAAATCAGCCCCCAAACACCAGACGTCATTCAGACGTTGGTTTTTAGGCTAAATCTGGTCGGTCAGTCATAGTCTGGATTTAGTCCATGAATTCTTGAAAATTGGGCTGTTTGGTCGCTCTGATTTTGTCCCACTTTAGTCCAATAAGAAAAGACTTTACAGATATAGTTTTCAATGTTTTTTCAACAATCTGAAAATTAAGGTTGTTCACTTTTCAACCAAATATAGTGTCACATCTTGGTTGTGGTTTAGAGCAGCGGTCCCCAACCTCTTTTGCACCACAGACCGCTACATAACAGACAATATTTTCATGGACTGGCGGGGTGGGTGGGGTGGTTGCGGCGGCGGACCGTTTTTTACTTGATCATATTTACCTTGGTCCGTAGCTTTGCTTTGGTCGCTGTAACTGCAGAAAATCCTGCTTCACAAAGATAGGATGTTATAGATAGGATTAGTCTTGATCTGAATTAACCTGTGTCAAGAGGCACAGATGCACCGACTGATGTAACTGGGAGAGAATACCGCAATTTATTATATTTTTCAAAATACATTTTTTTTTTTCTGTGCAGCCCGGTACCAAATGACCCACGGACCGGTACCGGTCCGCGGCCCGGTGGTTGGGGATCGCTGGTTTAGAGGACCCAAATCCAGAGGCAAAGAGGCTGAGGTGGTT